TTTTTTCTTTTTTTTTTTTTTTTTTTTACAGCACAGTGGTGCTGGAGTTTCATTTCAGAGCTTCAGATTCAGGCACCAAGCCAAATGCGAGTTCCGCTCTGTACTTCAGTTTCATGGGGAAATACTGGCTGATTATTTTTTTAGCAGATAAATAGTCATGAAACACTATGTGAGCTCCTCCTACTTTTAGCCAGGGAAAGCACCAGCATATAATGCTTTCCATTGCTCAGGGCTGGCTCATTCTTGGTGTGAGGAGCTCAGGAATTCTGATAGTCCTTTTTTTTTCTGCTATTCTGTTTTCAGTTATCTCAACTCCAAGAAGCAACATGGAAACAACAAATTGCCTGGAGATGAAGAGTCCCAAAGAAAAGAACTGTAGATGCTATCGGATAGTCTGTATTTTGATTTCTCTCTTCCTTTTGACACTGGTTTTGGTCCTGTTTTGCATAGTCTGCTGTTTTACCCATCCTGCGCAGGTAAGAAAAAAAGACAACTCCAGCAAGCAAAGTATATAGAATATTTATTAATTATTATTGCTTCATTCATAGAATCAAGTAATTGCAACCTTCTAATTCTGTCTTGGAGCTAATGCTTTATCCAGACTACTTTCAAAGTCTCAAAAGGTGGCGCTTCCACCATTTCTTTGGGGAAAACTTCTTTCATTTTGCTTTCATTTAAAAAAAAACCCAAATCAAGGTTTTTCCTTCTCATCTGTCCTATCCTACTGTGCCAACTGTGGCAATATTCTTTTTATTATTATTTTAAATAAACTGGTAACAATTATTAAGTGCAGGATAAGCTATAAGTCCTTTGGTTCAACATGCATCCAACCACCTAGAACCTGATTTTGCAAAGTACTAACACCAGCTACTCCCATTAGAGGTCACTAAGACTAATTCTCTATTGCATTTCATTATTTGACTTCAAGCTTCTGTATTTCTATGTTCTTTTATGAGGGGAGAGATAGGAGTTCCAAAAGCCACAACTCACTGATGCAGGGAATTTTACTCTCTGTTTCTGAAACATATTGTACAAAAATAGGAAGCAGGCTGGAATGGACCTTGCAAGGTCACCCAGTTCAGTCCCTTGCTGAGAAGAAAGAGGGAGGGAGAGAGAAAAGAATGATAGAAGAGTTGCTCCACTTATTTACTCCTCATTGCTTTCTTTAACAAGGAAGACCTGAAGTTCATGGCCTAAGACATGCCATGAATGTTGACGTCACACAGGAGATTATTTCTATAAAATAAGGAGCACTCTCCATACTTATGGGAATGGTAATGCTTGGCACTCACAGCAGCATTGTTTCTCAGAACAGAGATCTTCAAAGATTCTGGCACATCCTTTTTTTTCCAGTTAGCTGTGCTGAGTACTTCCTCCTTTGTCCTGACCCATTCTGGAATCATAGAGCAAGAGTTCAGAGACATGTACTTTGTTCAGAACTGCACTGCATGGATGGGAGATTCACATGTGATAAAGACACATGAGCTTCACCTCTTTCCTTTTCCTTTCCCTTGCAGAAAGAACACAGTTTGAATAAACTCCAACTTCTCTAAGGCCTCCAAAAAATCAAAATAATTAGGTGTGGAAAAGATCAATTTATCAAGTCCCATCCACCTGCAAAACAAAATCCACAGTATATGATTTATTTGATATAAATGCAATGTTCAAAACCTCCTAGGTGACTTAGGAAGTCCAGGGCCCATATTCAGTAGTGACTTTCACAATGAGGGGCCCGCTTCTCAATGACTTTCAAAAAAGAGCCAGGCTCCTATAGTGTTTGGGTGATTTTGAAAATCTGACCTCATGTTTGCTTATTTTGGTATTTCCTTGGTTTACTGTCTTGGTTCTTGTCACTGAGTGAACTTATTTACAAACTTATCACGTAGGTCCATATTGTAGCCTCTTCACTCAACAGGTTGAGCCATTACTCAGCACAAGTAGTTTCACTAAAGTCAATTGTTTGCAATCTGAACTTTAGTAGTGTGTCCTCCTACCCTCATCTGAAAATACACTTAGAAAGCAGCTGGTTTAAGAGTGGAAAGAATAAAATGTTGTGGCTGCTATACCAAGTGTTGCAAGAGAGGAAGCATAGGTTAGTATTTAAAGTGAAGTAGTAAAATGCAAGAGATTTCAGTTCTGTTCTTGGTTCTGTCAGTGTCATAGGAGATCTTGGATGAACTGGTTTGGATTTGTGCTTCCTTTTCCCTATCTGTAAATGTAGAAAGTAAATAGGGCTGTGCAAATTAATTCACTAATGCTTGCAAAGCACTGAGATTCTTGAATGAAAGATGCTATAGAAGGGCAAAGTGTTTGATCAGAACTGTATTTTACGCTAAGATGTTTTGACACACCATGATTTTGGCAGCTATCTCAACAAGTAGAATGATCTTTGAACTGTGGGCATGTTGGTAAGATTATGAAAGGAAAGGCTCATTTATTAACCAACAGCTCTTTCAATTGTACTGTCTCTTGAACAAGGAGTCATTTCTCTAAATGTTATAAGATGAACAGATACTACAATGAAAACCCAGGGTTAATAGAATATGGAATTAAATAGAAGCACTGCACTGGTTATGGGAATTCAGTAGAAATCAGTAAGTTAAAATGATAATACTCACAGATACATGTGACTGTGCCCTAGACTAATTTAGGTCAATGAAAAATACTGTACGTTTCCCTATTAAGCAAATTCGCCCAGACTTGGTGTCATGGCTACAGTAAGTGGCCATAGCTAGAGATAAGGGGTCAAATCTACACCAATACAGAAGCATAAAAAACTTTGACGTTCCAGGTTATTTGATTCCCAGGAAAAATTGTTTCGATTATAAGCTTTATAGGGCATAGGCTGTGTTTTTAATAATATATGCATTCTGTACTTATAAGAACAAGAGTTCTGATTATCAATTGGAGCTTTGAAGTGTTACAACAGCAACAGCAATAACAATAGAGGATGATGATGAAGATGATGACGATGATGAGAGTTGTTACTTTTCTGAATGAACCCCAGAAATAAAACAGATATTGCTACAGTTAAGGACTGATGTGACCAGCACTTCTCAGAGGGCATTCTTGTAATACTTGTACCTCAGAGGGGTACCTGTTTTAATTTAATGCTCTGTAATTGGTGCTACTGTGCATTAGCACAGATGAATGGTTTTTAAGTGATGTTAATGCACATTAGACTAAATCTACTGCACATTTGCATGGGTTTTACCTGCCATGGTAATGCACAATAGAATTAATCTTCTGTGCATCAGGGCTAGGGACAAACATTAAAAAAGCCTGAGCCTGAATTGATTCAATCTTTGAAGGTTAGTTTAACCTGGCTAGGCTGAACCGGTTTGCAACCATACAGACACTCCCTCTGGACTGAAGAAATGCAGGCACATGCCTGCAGTGGCTCTGGCTAGAAGCAAGGGGTGCTACAGCAGCCCTGCCTTCCCTTGCCCAGTGCTGAGCTGAGGGGGAGCCCTGGCAGGATGCTCTGATTAGGGAGGGGTTCCCCCCCTTGGTGCTTCTGACCAGTGAGGGAGCCAGCAGGGAGTTGACAAGACAGCATTTACCAGCCCATCAAGAAAACAAAAGCCTCTCTCATTAGTCCAAGCTCTTCTTAAACAACTTTTTCCACGGCAGGAACAGAGGGACATTACTAGGTGACCTGTTGATTAGCTCCAAAAAACCCTAAGTGGACACTGTCCTGTCTACTGGCTATGGTCTGTGCTGTGGGAAAGGGGAGAGTGGGAATCCCTGCTTGAGCAGCAAGCAGCAAGGGAAGCCAGGCAGAATCTGCTATGTCCACAGTCTCTGCTGGAGCTCCAGCTGGGGAGCATGGGGAGCAGAGGGGCAGGGACAGCCCTGCTCTGGAGCAGAGAGCCCTGCCCAAGACTGCAAAACATCTGGGATGCTAGGGGACTCTGGCTAAGCCAGGCAGGATTGCCTAAACTGGTTTGCCCAAATCAGTTAAGTCAGATACTACATTCAGCTACGTTTATCTCAAATTGGTTTCAGACATTTTCAAACTGGTTTATATTCACTGAATGTCTGTTCTGTTACAGGCTTAAACCAGTTTCTGATCACTTAAACTGCTTTATGTGTAATGTCTGTCCCTAGCCTAAGTGTATTGTGTAGATGTGCCCAGAGAAAAGCAGTAGTTCAGCTAAGTAATGCACCAAGAACCAATTCTTCAATGCAGAGTTTCTGAAGCTGTAGGATTGTCTTCAGTAGAGATGGAGCTGTAGAAAGGACTAGTCAGGTGGTACTCAGATGGTCATAACAACTATTTTCAAGACTCTCAGTTTTCATTAAAAAAATTATACTCTAGTTCAGGGGTTCTTAACCTTTTTTAGACTCAAGGCACCCCTCAGAAAATGCCAATTCTTTCTTTACTCGTTTTTGACTACAGAAAAAATAATAGAGCAATTCTTCTGTTCCAAAGAACTCAGAAAGATCAGATCAAGTCAGAATATTTTTAACACTATGCATAAATCCCTAGTCAAAATCTCTGGGTTTATCTTGTTTGTACACCTGATAGTGCTAACCTGGTGCGGCATTCTGTAGTACCCTTAAAAGGATGTCCAGACAAACCAAGGTGCCATGATACCCTGGTTGAGAATCATTGTTCTAGATATTACAGTAATGAAGGAAACCTTTAAAATGAGATGGAAGTATGAACGATATGTTTATGCCTACCTAAGTAAAGAAAAGGTACCTTTTTAGAATCATAGAACCGAAGGACCAGAAGGGACCTGTAAGATCATCAAGTCTGGTCCTCTGCCATGGGCAGGAAGTTATTGGGCTCAGATGAGTTACATTCCCCAGGCTGTATGCTTGGGCAGAACCACTGACATTCAGATGCTTGATCTTAGGTAGTCCAAAACCATCCCAAATATTTAAAAGGAAAAAAAGCCTGAGAAAGAAATGCCAGTTGCATCGATTGACAGCTCCTTTGTCAATAGAAGGGGGAAGACAATTAAATAAGACTCCATACTGTCTCCTCTCATAAAAGAAACAGTCGTCCCCTGTTTGAGATTGTTCTCACAGGCAAATTGAACACTATCTGATAGGTATAAAAGTCACTGTTTATATTTACCAATATAATAACTCAAACTTTTTTTCTTTCTGCAGACTTCTGACATCTGCTGGGTTCATGCAACTTGTAAGTATCAAGGCACTGGAGTTGCTTCTAGTTTTGTTTCTTTTTACCATGCTTATATCTCACCAAAGGTGACTATATCAAAATAATATGATCATCAACATATTATTGATATCATGCTAGTGCTCAGAAGCTCCACTCTGATGGGTGTTCCACAAACACTTAGACCCAAAGTGTTTGCAGTCTAATACTGGGTGCACTTTGGTTCTAACTTCTTTACACCATAAGATTTTAACCATGTACCCAGTATCCATGAAGAGACCTACAAAAACACACAATTTGCTGGTCACAAAGACAACAACCTCTCACTTGATAAAGAGGGTAGGATAAAGTGGGGCAAAGCATTGCTGGCTCCTTATTTGTGGTGATCTACACAAGCTATGCTGACTTCCATGATCCAGGCAGACTGAAACAGGAGGTGCAATAACCACATCCACCTGCTGATATAAACCAGGGAGAGGGAAACCTTCTCTCCTTTCAGCTGTGGAAGAAGGATTGAGTTTTCCTGTTTCCCTTCAACCTCTGATTGTGTCCAATGGAGCCAAGCTGACCTACACCAAGCTGAGGGTCTCCTCCGTGAATTGCAATCCACCATTTCTTTGTTTCTCTCTAGAAATGAGCCTAGACCAAAACCTGGGCCTTGAAGACTCCCTTACTTCAGGGTGTTGGTCTGAATCTTGGTTGGAATCTTATATAATTTACCAGAACCCCCAGGTCCAACCATTTTAGCTGATTTGAATTGTATAGCTCAGGTCCTTTCTCTAGAGAAGATCTTTTGAGAAAAACCACATGAATGCTCCTTCCCTTCTTCCTCATTTGTTAACTATAACCCAGGCTACAAAGTACTCAAACCAAAGAGGTGAAAAAATGGTGAGAAGAGAGGGAAATGAGCCAATGGAAAGTATTAATAAAACAACAAGGGAAAAGCTAGAAAATGGGCTGGACTTTGAAATAAAATTAACCAACTTGTTTCTTTTCCTTGTCTTTTTTGCCCTTCTCCTTTGGCTTCTGCATGGAAGGGCCTTCAAATTCCACTGGCATCGTTCTCTGGAAATGGAACATGACAAACTGCAGTAATTCAGTGCAGAACATCACTGAGAATAATCATAATACGTTGGAGATCCTGCAGGATGGCATATACTTTGTGTACAGTTCAGTACACCGTCTCAATAGTATTGATGATGACAATTTTACGATAATGCTGCACAGTAAGAATTACTTGCTTGACAAGGTTACTGGGCCAAAAGGTGGAGACGCATCTTCCACAATCAGTTTTGGAAGACCACATTTCTTGAAGAAGGGGGAAAGGCTGTACCTTTTATTCAATAACAATTTGATGTACATCTCAAGCAATATAACTTACTGGGGGCTGTTCAGAATGCACTAGGGTTCCACTCCTGAGTGGCTCCTGCCACGCTCCAAGGAACTTGCTGTTTTTCTCCATATCAAACCCAAGAATAAAGCAGAGGTTTTTCTAGCAGTCCTCTACTCATCTTGTCAAAGTGACTAAAACAGGCACTCAGTAAAGACATGGCTTTGTGATACCAGTAATGATGATGGATGTTGTCCAATTGTCACCAGAAATGAAAGACAGACAATTCTGAAACAACATCATGAATGCAGGAATGAAACATCTTGATACAGGCAAGGTGCCAGTCAGAAAGTCTTGGGGAAAAAATAGTCACTACGTTCTGCTGTAGTGCCGAGTATATTAACGTTTCTGAGCTATAGTAAAGTCTTGCTGTATAACTGGCTGCATTTTAGAGGTGAAGAAAAGCTATCACCATTGATACATTTTGTGACATGACTTGGGGATCCTTTTGATGTAAGGTTCTGTATATAAGCTTCCCACAAAGAGTCCTGTCTAGGGAGCAAACAGTTTAAAGCTAAATTGGGATTGAGGGACAATTCCTAAATCACCTAGGACTCACACACAGCTTCTTTACTTTCTGTCCTTTTCTCACATACATATTTATCAAAGGAAACTAGATCTTTCCCAGTTTCCCTACAGTGTGTCATCTTCACTGATGATTCACAGCATACAAGGATTTCAATCCAGACCAAATAAAGATATCTATATTTTCTTTTAGAACCGTGCATCCAGAGCCCACATGGACCCATAATACAATTCAGGGTTCCAGCAGGGGTCTTAGCCATTTTGTATCAACTATTCTAACACTGAACTTAACAATTCTGTAAAAGTGGTATAAGGCAACATCTGGCAGACCGGGGATCGATCATGCTTGAAAAACTGTCAATTCCTAGTTGCCTGATACTAGATGAAGTAGATAGAAAGAAACACCTGTGGGATTCAGGGTCACCTATTGATGGGAATGAATAATTGTAGAAAAAAGCACAGAGGGGGTAGCATATGCTATAATTGTTCAAGACTGTGATTGCTGAGTTCTATTCTTGCCTCTTCTACTACCTCTCTGCATAACCTTGGTTAAGTTATACCCATCTCTGTGCCCCCATTTCCCACTATGTACATCAAACAACAATATATTTTCCTACCTCACAGGGATGTTGTGAGGCTCAAATAAATTTTATAAAGTGCTTCAAGATACTCAGATTCAGCTGTGTTTCTGGTCATCTGTTGTGAGATATGGTTTCTGTTCCTTGACTGGGCAAGCACTCCCAGTGCTTGTTTTCTCACAGATAACCATATTGAATGATTGCAAACATGTCAAACATTTTCTTGAAACAAATTACAGGAAAAACAAGCACACAAACTCAAACAAAACAGAGGTAGGTTGAGAGAATCATGATTTAAGGGTCAAGGGCGGGTAGGTACTTATAACTATTATGATTTTATTTTCTATGTTTTGTGATTTTAAACAACTAGGCACCTGCTTTCCATACAGGGGGCTACTTAACAGTGTTCCATTTAATACAAACCATTCTCGAAGAGATGGACACGCAGCCAACCACACACACACACACACACACACACACACACACACACACACACACACACACACACACACACACACACACACACACACACACACACACACACACACACACACACACACACACACAGAGTGATCTCTGTTTTTTCTGACTTTGCTGATGCCTCTTAATCTCAAGATCTTGTTCAAATAGCAAATGTACTTTTCCCTTGTTTCTGGACCAACAAGGCAGTTTACAAAGGACACTCTTTTACCCAAAACTCCATTGGTCTCTGCCAGTGTTGGGGCTGCAGCATCTGACCAACAATCCTTCCATTTGTAAGCGGGGATACTACTACTTATTGACTTGATTTCCGAGTAAGGCAGTAAGTATCAGAAAATGTTAAGGCCAGTTTGAATGCACTATCATCATGGAAGCAAGGTGGCAGGGAGCTGTGCTAACTCAGGAGAAATTAAAGAGGCTCAGTCTATCCCTCCATAAGAAAAAAGATTGCAGAAGCTGCACCATCATTTCTTTGGTTGTAATTTGCTACTATTAGCCTGGCTGTGGTTGGAAGGCGGGGGGGGCGGTCTCTGTGCTGAACAGAACATTAGATTTGCAACTGGCTCTTGCACCAGGAACAAGGACTCATCTTCCCTCCTGCCTGCCCACCTGAAGAAAAGCACCTGCTGCAGTGAATCAATGCTCATCAAAGATTTGTGTATGAAAAGCACTGTTATTGCTCCTTTGCTACAATTTTGGTAGTAATCAGAAAATGTGTGCCAGTATGATACAAACGTGATCATAACTGACTGGTTGATACTGAGCAAGTGAGGAATCCTGTAAAATTACTGCTATCAATAATGGTCCAGCAGCATGTGGATGCATGATGCGAAGAACCTTTTAATGGTTTGGCTTATGCTGGCCAGATGAGGAATCCCTTATCACTTCTACTAGCAGTAAAAACAGGGGGAAGCATGGGTGTGCATTGCTAAGGATATGATATCCATTTGGTTCAGGATGACTGGGAAAAAAACCCTGTTTTTGAGTTGCATGCATATTTTAATTAATTATCACTGGCATGGTGTAGGACTCTACAGTGGTTTTCATTTTTAAAAAAAGCATTGTATGCCTGAGGTTATCACACAGTAGTATCTGAGATGCCACAGTCAATTGCTGCTCTAGATCTAAGAGGTAAAACATTGGTGTCTGAAATATAACTGTGTTAACCTGACAAATGCTACCTTTAAATGGAATATCCAAGATGCCTGCCTACTCCCCAACTTTAGACTAACACAGCTAACCAACTCTGGACCTTAAAAATGTTCGTTTCTCATGACAGGAAGGTCACATGTACCAGTTCCAACATTGTCTGCAGTTCTGAACTGTAAATGAAAAAAGTCAATCCCAAGTGCAGACAGCCTGGTTATAAACATAACCTTAGGCTAACATTTACAGTAAGTAATGACTCAGATTTAAATTAATTAACTTAAATGATACTTGTGTACTTAAAGTAACTGGCTGCCTGTAATGGATAGTAATACATTTGCATTTATCCAAGGCTTCCATAAGAAAAAAAGAATGCAATAACACAAAAATCCTATTTGGATTAGATCACACTGCCATGAATATTAAAATAATTACTGTATACGTGACAGTGAACAATTATTTATTTTCTATTACAGAAGCACAGGATTTTCCACTCCCTTCTCATTAGAACTCTGGCAGAGAGGGACTTGCACAATAATGTTTTGACTACACCCTTCAGTAACTAGTGCCAGGCAAGTTTGTGCAATTACTATACATGAATATGACAAGAGAAAGTTACATTTAAAGTACATCTGTCATTTTTTTCAAGTTCTGGTACCTTGGGTATCATCTTTAGAACCTAGAGAGAAAAAGGTTTTAAAATGTTTAAACTGTTATAGTCCTGCTTCTCTGCTACTTTCAAAACATGCTTATCTGATTATCAGATAAACTTACATATTATAGCCAAGTGGCTCATGCAAAAATTATTTTTTAAAAATGCCATACATTTTTGAAGGAAGAGCAATGTCTTTTGCCACTCTGCATATTTTGTTTGAGATACAGGAACATGGGATAATAATCCATCTTTCTGTAAAACAAAATGTAATTTAATGCCACCATGTGACTTACATTGTGGGAAATTTAGTTCAAAGGAGTATAAAAGACAACAAATTAGATTGTATAATACCTAATCTGTTGGGTCTGATTGGAAAAAAGTTTAATTGGAAATGCTAATTTTATTATTTTTTAAAATAGTTTCTTTCCATAACCTTACTATGTGGGACTGGACAGGCAGTACAGGTGGCCACCTAAGGCGGCAAGTTGTACGTGGTGGCAAAAATGGTGTTCTGGGCAGGCAGGCAACACCACATGTGCTCAGTCAGGCACAGGGAGGCATGACACCAAGGGTGGCAAAAATCCTTGCATTAGCCCTGTTGCTATGACAGATGTTTAATATGCTACATGGGCTCAGACAGGAGTGGATAACAGGTTGGAAGATCTTATAAGGGCCTTTAACTCATACAGAGTAAAAAAAACCTGGTATTTTAGTTCTTCTTTAGCACAAATAAAATGAAGCCAACCCAAACTTTATGAACAGGTACAATACTACAAATAGAACATGTATAAATATTTACATTTCAGTATTCAAGATATAGTCTACAGATTTTTTTCCATCTCTAGAAACAGCAGCTAGATCTACAGGCACAGGGTCAATTTTGCCTTCAGAGAGGAATTCTCTGAGATCTGCAGGATCTATTTTCTTTTTTCTGCTGTGTTCACTGCCCTGATGTACCATTGCCTTTCTCTGCACCCTACAGTCTAAAATTAATTTGAAAACCTTGAATTGCTGGATTCTGAGCTTACATTTCAATTGCACAATTGGATTCTCAGTACATAAGGAAAGCAATTCCCCACTCTAACATGCATTCTTTTTCTGTGGCTTGAGTTTGAAGCCAGAATGAGATACAGTACTTGAAACCACAATGGGATTAGTAATATGACAAAAATCTTACATATCATTTAGCAAGGCAGGGTTTGGAAGCTATTTTTTTTTAGGTATGTGACTCTATTGCTTTGGAAACAGTTACAGATAATATTAAAAGTGTCTTGGTTTTCCTCCTGAACACAAAGGCTAGGGACAAAAGTTACACATAAACCAGTTTAAGTAATCAGAAAATGGTTTAAACCTGTAACAAAACATAAATTCAGTGCACCTAAATCAGTTTCAAAATGGCTGAAACTGCTTTAAGCTAAAGCTGATTGAATGTAGTATCAGACTTCATTAATTTGGGTAAAACCGATTTATGAAACTTCTGTCCCAGACCCCTTCTTGGTTCAAGTTAAATCACAGTCCCCAAGCATGCCAACATGCTTTCCAGCCTGGGCTGGGCTGGGCTGTCTGATCCGGGGGTGCGGAGGGGGGCAGAGACTACCCCCTCCAGGAAAACCTCAGCTGG